CTAAATTTGAGCAAAATATGAAAGCAATCTATTTTTCATCTATTGCCACTGTTTGCTCGATTTTTACGGACAGTCGCTCTTAAAAACAAAAAAATGTAAAAAGCTTCTGCAAGAACTAAAAGTTCTTCAGCTGGTCAATCGTATCAAGTATGAAAGAAAGACAAAAACGACAAATGCAGTCTGCAAATGCAACTGTTCAACAAAACTTGCAAAAAAGGGCGTGAAACTCAGTGTTGCGACAAACATAATTATCACTTATTTACTGAGACCGAGGGAAACAGTGTGTTTTGTGGACCCGAGACCGCCGTTGTTGCCCGAGGCAAAGCCGAAGGCAACAACGGCGGTCGACGGGCCACAAAACACACTGCTTTCCCGAGGTCTCAGTAAATAAGTGTTTTGTTATATAGTGTATAAGTACCAACATATGAATAATTCACCGGTTATTGAAGTAAACTTAATTTGAAACCAAAATTGGATAAATGGTTAGTAAAACGTTTAAAAAATGTAAAACGTTTAAAAAATGAACTTTGGAACTTCATGGTTGACACGCATGCGTATTGCACTCATTTTATTATTGACCGGTCAATAAATGTTTCATTGTGGACCGATTGCCGAATACGACGTTTTGTGGACCGGCACGTGACACGGTTTTGACCAATCGGCAAACTTTGACTAAGTATATAACAATTCTAATTAAATATTAAAGTTATCATCATGGAAAATATTTTATAGACTTTGAGATGTATCTGTTTATATAATAACGTTCTTACAACAAGCCAATCAAATTTCGTTTTAACATCAGATTTCCTGCGTTTGATTGTCTCTTCACAAATGATCACTTGTCCACTTTATTTGTGCACAGGCCATACAGGTATACACTCAGGGTGCTATAAAAAAAATATTCATCACATAAATATATCGCGGCAAATTTAAGAGTGCGGAGTGCCGTGTGAATATTATTGTAGTTGTTATGAAATTACTCCTCGGAAATGCTCAAAAGTCACTTTATTAGTTGCGTCAAATGGTATTCAAGTATTAGTTGCGTCAAATGGTAAAAATATGTTATATACAGAGTGTACAAAAAAAACGCCTAGTTAAATTTGAATCTAAACGCATGATTGCGTTTGTTATACGCGCTGTACTGTTGTACATCAATGTGTACTATAATGTTCGGCAGTTGGCTATTTATTCGTCAAACAAACAAAGAACATCGACTGGCCGATCATTTTTATTTTGCGCTGATATTGTGAGATATTATTAAATAAAACACGTACTTTTCGCTAAAATTAGAGATAACCTTAATTATTTATTTATTGGTAAATACAGTATTGTTTTGTAAGTTGTAAAAACGACGAAATAAAAACGTTTCACTTTTTTAATTATAATGACAATGGTACTTCTGTAGACCTAGCCTATAGTTTAGGCTCCGCACGTAAAACTATAGAATGTAAAGATTGACCAACTATTCGTTACTGATGGCCGAACAACTGTCTTGTTGGTTGGGCACTTGCCAGACCCAAGCAGAATCGTTTAATGCATACTAACGTACATATAACTCGTGTTATGTTTATTACAAAAACCAGCAATGATGCAGCATGGATGGTCAAAAAACGTAATAAATTGCAGATACTGTAGATATACAGGGTGTCCCAAAAAAACGAAAACTATTGAAATCACCAATAACAATTTAATTGTTAGAATTTGAATGCCTATAAGCACTCTATTGGTTCCCACGAGTGCATAAATGATTTACATGAGTAAATTTTATGCACAAAGAAACTATTTAGGAAGCTGCTTTAAATTCCCAAGAGCAGAAAATCGCAAACTTTACAAGGAGATGTCTTAACTAAATTTTAATACATGCACCTTGTCAATATTTTACGCATCATTACGTTCAGCTTTTTGATATAGCATTCAATTTTAACAATAAGTGATTTCAATGGTTTTCGTGGGGTTTTTTTGGGACACCCAGTATACGGATAGCTGGATAAGTGGATATACACGGTGTATAAAAAAAGGAGACCTTTAAAGGCCCTGTTACACGGTGCAATTTTTCATGCAACTTGTCTCGCAATGGCGTTGCGAGACAAGTTGCACGAGTCATTGCACCGTTTAACATGCCTTGCAATGGTCAAAATTGTTGCGAGACAAGTTGCATGAAGCATTGCAGAGAGTAGAAGTCGGTTCTACTTTTGGCAACGATTGCACTAATCATTTTAAGCGTTGCAGCGTGTAACATGGCTTCGTGCAACTTGTCTCGCAATGTTTATAGCTTGGAGAGTTCCTATTGGCTCTCCCCAGTACACGCTTTATTTTAATTAAAATTTGGCGCCAAATAGCGCCCCTCCCTAGTCTCTTCGCATGCCTTTGTCCCCTATCGTTGCGAGTTGCATGAAAATCATTGCAGCGTGTAACACCTCTTGCAATGCATTATCAAAATCTTTTTATAAACATTGCGAGACAAGTTGCATGAAAAATTGCACCGTGTAACAGGGCCTTTAGAAATCAAGCATATTGTTAAAATTTGAATGCTTTTTCAATTGCACATATGCTGAACCGTAGTGCGTGAAATATTGATCAGTGCACATATTAGAAAAAGGAGACCTTTAGAAATTGAAATAACGTTTGAACAAAAGATTGTCTGCTCCTGCTGTACAGGGTGTCTCAAAAAAACCCAAAATCATTGAAATTGACGTATTGTTCGATATTCAATGCCCTAGCACTAAGTTAATCCCACGAGTGCATAAAAGATTGACATAACTGCTATAATGAATGGTAATACTCAGCGTAAACTTGTTATGTCAGGCATAAAGTACTAAACCCACGAATGCATATTACGCATATTACAATTTACGAAGCATTTTTAAATTCCCATGAGCAAACAAACGTTCACTTTACAAAGATATTTTAATTTTTTAAAACAAATTAATCACCCTGTCAAAATCCTTTGTGTTACGGCATTGAAATTCGAACAATACGTTATTTCAATGATTTTGGGTTTTTTTGAGACACCCTGTACATTGGAACAATCTACCATGCATACTGTACGTATATGGCATGCCAAGCACTCGTGGGCTTAGCAAAGTGCTCCAGGATTCAAATTATAACAATGGTTGATTTCTAAAGGTCTCCTTTTTCTAATATATGTACTCGTCAATATTTCACGCACTACGGTTCAGCATATGTGCAATTGAGAAGGCATTCAAGTTTTAACAATATGCTTGTTTTCTAAAGGTCTCCTTTTTTTTATACACCCTGTATATATTGGCTTGTACCTAGCTATAATGCCCAAGGAACTACAAAATAAGAATTACATGTAAGTACTGTACTTTAAACTTGCAGTAAGCATCGACAAAACTAAATTGTTCATTAGCCTCGTCACATTACCATGCCTTTCGACTCACCCTTTAAAAAGTCCACGTTGCGATGCCAAATGTTGAAGGTTGTTCCAAAAGAAGGCATTCATTTATAGACTCGAAAGAACAACAGGAACGCAGCATTCATAACTCCAGAGTGCACAATCCTGCAGTGTTTGATGAGTCTACATCTTATCCATTAGTAATGTCAACTTCAACATGCAAGAATGATTTAAGAGCAGCAAGGAAGAAACTTCGCCTTTGGTTAACATCTATCACCATTTGCCAACATCATTTCTCTTTTCCTGTGTGAAGAAAAATTTTACAAGCATGTTGAGATGAATTTCTCCTCTTATACCGCTTATACAAAATATTAACAGCTCATGTAACTTCTAGAACAATGTAGCAAGGAGGTTGCAGAAAATGTAGAGGGTAAGAAATTCATTGTATAATCTTTCCAAACATTCTTTCTCTATATCTATTATATCTCAAATCATTCTCTTGTCTATATCTCAAGTAGCATGAGCTTCATGAGTCTATGTCTAACGTTATATATAATGTATTAAGGTGACTTTATGATGTTTTATCAAGGTATTTAACACCTTATATAATCACAACAAAGATTATAGACAAAGCCATAGGACTATCAATAAACTATAAATTTTCATTGTATAATCTTTCCAAACATTCATTCTCTAATGTGTGAAGGTCTGGTTGAATTCCATCAAACCGTTTTTGTTTGAGGACCAATTCATAGCCTGCGATCAACTAGTCATATTTAGACTTAAGGCATATTTTCACATTTTAATTAACATGTCATCTTAATGTAAATTTGGTTTTGCTGAAATTATATAAATAATCTACCCAGCAAAATACTTGTCCATATCTCATCTATAAGTAGCATGCATGAGCTTTATGAGTCTATGTCTAAAGTAATTATAGCCTGTTAAGGTATAGCTTTATGATATTTTATCAAGATAATTAACACCTTATACTCATAACAAAACCAATGTATAAGCTGCCGACAAACCATAATATCAAACATTCATTCTCAAATATGTGAAGGTCTGGTTTAATTCTATCAAACCGTTTTTGTTTGTGGACCGGCTACATATCATCTTAATGTAAATTTGGTTCATAAGCTTCATGAGTCCATGTCTGAGTTATACTGTAGCATGCTAATTAAGGTGGCTTTATGATGTTTTATGAAGATAATTAACACCCTATATAAACATAACAAACCAATGTAAGCAGCCGACAAAGCCATAAGACTATCAATAAACTATATACTTTCATTGTATAATCTTTCCAAACATTCATTCTCTAATATGTGAAGGTTTGGTTTCATTCCATCAAACCGTTTTTGTTTGAAGACTCATGCATGGTTACATGTCATCTTAATGTACATATTTTGTTTCACTAAAGTTATATAAATTTACCCAGCAAGATACTTGTCTATATCTAATCTATCAGTAGCATGAGCTTCGTGAGTCTAAGTTACAGTGCAGCCTGCTAAGGTGGCTTTATGATGTTTTGTGAAGATAAGTGTAACACCCCAGCCTAGTCCCAGTCGTTCTGAAGCAAGCGCGAGAAAAAAGTGGATGTAGTACGAGACTGGGACCTAGGTGTGACGCCACCGCTCAAGGTGCTTCAGAACGCCTAGCAGATTTCAGTACTTTTAATATGGCGGAAAATTTATATATACATGTAACCTTTTAATTATAAATACGACAATGTTCGTTCATCATGTACATGTTCGATGTCTACATAACCAAATCAAACTGTATTAAAAATGTGCTCAACTAAAAAAAATTATATACAAATTTACGATACCAAGTTTGAGCAATCGTTGATGTTATTTATGTACTTGCAAGTTGTGATCAACACTAGACCATACTGGTATACACAACTACGCTTTCTACTTGACAGGTTTAAATTGCTGAGGAGATTGGAAATATTTGCCTGACATGACGGTGTTGTCAAAACATTCTTAGTCGGAGACTCGGGATAATGTTCAAGCTTTTAGATAGCATTTAATATGGCTATATATTTTAGTAAACACGAGTCATATTTAGCCAGTTATTCCATTCTGACCGTATGGCAGCGAAACGTAGCCTACTTCATTGTTCCAACATCATTAGAGCAAAACTAATGACTTAATTATAAATGCAAAGGAAATTTTCATAACATTTTCGATTTACAAATGAGGTATGCTTGGTAACCAGGCCAGGGACCACTTTTTTGAAATCAGGGACTATTTTACCGAAATCTGCCAGGCTCTCTCGCTGAAGCGTTCCGCACAGCACACCCAGGCATAAAACTTTTAAGACTTATTTAAATATATCAAAGCAGCGAATAGAGAGAGCCTGGACTAGGCTGGGTCGAATGAATGCCATGCAAAAGACTAAGAATACAGGGTGTCCCCCCAAAAAACAAACTACTGAAATAACGTATTGTTAGAATTTGAATGCCTTAGCAATAAGCTGAACGCAAAGATGTGTAAAATATTGACAGGGTGCATATATTATAAATATTGACTTATTAAGAAATTAAAATATCTTTGTAAAGCACACGATTTTCTGCTCTTGGGAGTTTAAAGCAGCTTCTTAAACAGTTTCTTTATGCATAAAATTTACTTGCGTCAAGCTTTTATGCACTTGTGCGGAGTTCAGCAGATTGCTGAGACATTCAAATTCTAACAATACGTTATTTCAATAGTTTTTGGGGACACCCTGTACTGTAGAGCGATCTCCGATCTTGATGACACGATAAAATGTTCTGAAACTCTAAATAGTTTTAAGTCGTATTTTTATAAATCGTTAAATTTCTGATTTTAATATATATAGATATTAATACTGTGTGATATTATTGTATACTGATAAGTAATTTTATATTTCGAATTTTTTAGTAAAGCATGATTTTGTTCAGGACCTGTCTGAAAATCACGTTATGTGAGTACAGTTTTCCTGACTAATAAAGATCTTTACTAACTAACTAGCGCTTGCACCGTGGTTTGCACAGCTCATTCCCCAGGGAGCACCAACATGGCGGCTGTGACGTCATGTGCAAACGTTCTATTGTTGACTATACTGTCTACTGGAAACTTTGAGCCGTTCCGCACGTTGTAACCGATAATCTATCGGCGTTGTAATGCCATTGTACGCAACAAAGCACTGGGTCGTAATGGGTATACGGTTAATCCAAACGTTCGTTGGTCCAAATCCTAACCTCTAACCCCGGTGGCCCGCTGCCCCTCCGGGGCGTGCGCAACGTTCCGCACGTTGTAACCGATAATCTATCGGCGTTGTAATGCCATTGTACGCAACAAAGCACTGGGTCGTAATGGGTATACGGTTAATCCAAACGTTCGTTGGTCCAAATCCTAACCTTTAACCCCGGTGGCCCGCTGCCCCTCCGGGGCGTGTGAACTACCGCCAGCCCCACCATCCACCAAGCTAAGCCAATTACATTTATAACTAAAACTTTTGTCTATTGATTGTGGTTCTGCCAACATCCGCGGAAAAATGTCTGCGCATGCACCAAATTATGAAAATATGGCGGGGAATTTGAATATCAATTTCTAAAACAAAAACATGCTTATTAATTGGTCAAAAATTAGTAAAACAAACGAGAAAATATAGCAAATGGGTAGAGTAGACATTAATTGAAAGCGTCCTGGCATTTAAAGTATGGAATGAAATATAATTCATGTAAAAAAATGTTGATTTTAACGGACACGACTTCGAAAATTTTTTCAAAATTATTCAAAACAAAAATTCAAACTAAAAAGTTAAGAAAACTCTCGTAAAGTTAAGCTTCTTAACCCACTCAAATTGTAGAATAAATCCTAAAGTTTAATTATTGTGAACACGCAAATTTTTTATATTTGGCGACACAGTTTTTTTTAAAGAAATGTATCTCAAACGAAAATTCGGAAATTGTCATTGCTTAGTTGATAAACAAAATGTTTCAGACGATAAATTTGTCAACAATCACCTTTAGTTCATGTTCTTGTACAATACAATTTCTTGAACCTTCTGGCTGTATTTATTTTAAGTTTTTAGAACGACATGTTTATTTTTGCGCTTGAAATCTGGCTGTAAAGACGCACAATGAAGTCACTCCTTTTTACCGCCATTTTGAGCCTTCGGAAAAGTTCGGAACAGTTTCTCATCAAGTTCGCAATACTATTACAGGTAAGGTTGACGCATGCGCAGACATTTTTCCGCGGTGTTGGTTCTGTCTTCAGTTACAACCCAATACTTTATTGCATACAATGGTATTACAACGCCGATAGATTATTGGTTACAACGTGCGGAACGGCTGAAACTTTTGTGTGTGAGTTCACTCCATTGCATCCGCCAGGAACACAAAATCGCCGACAACATTGCTAGTGTTGAATCAGAATTGAACACTCGTCAAACCATGATTTGTGAAGTTTGAAATGTTTTCGTGACGGCCAACTCATGACCTCGTTTGACAAGGGCGTATTGATTGACGTTTGCGGCCAGCGGTCTGTCATGCACATCAATCTTCAACGACTCTATCAAGACAATCCCTTCGAGATGCCGGTGGGTCTGGCGGAACTCGGCATACTTCAAAGCGTCTATAACGAACAACGATCAGTTATGTTGAGACGAACTTAACCGCGCAAATATTTTGACATTTGCTCGATCGAGTTTCCAGACTCTTGGTGGAAGGGATTTGTAGATGGGAATTTGTTGCGAAAAATGCAACTGGATTGGCCTTCTGGCTGGAATCGAAACTGCGATTCCGGTGCAGCGCTCTAAAGGCTAATTTCCACTCATGAAAATTATCCGTGGATTGGAACGGACAAGAATTTTTTTTTTGTCTGTGAGCTCTGGGTTGGAACTAATGACTTTAACACAAAGAAAAATTATTCTTGTCCGTTCCAATCCACGGATAATTTTCCTGAGTGGAAACTAGCCTTAATTAAGCAACTAAGACCCCGTTTACACGGTACCGAACGAATTTGTGACCGCACGAAAATTCGGCCGTGTAAACAGACGAGAACCACGGAAACGGACGAATTTGAGACCCCCTAACGAGACGAATTCGCGTATAAACAGGCGAAAAAGGACGAATTTTCGTCCGGTCCCAAATTCGTTCGGTACCGTGTAAACGGGGTCTAAGGCGGGTTGTTCAAAAGCCGATTAGCTTAACCCTAGGTTAATTTAAAATTCAAAGCAAGCATCCTGACAGCTCATGTCTATAAATTTGGAAATGTTTCTTCAGAAATCTTGTCTGGGTCGACTGGAGTTCACTTCTCTCAGTTCTCTGACGTTTTGAGAAAAACAGACGTGCAGAACTACACAAACCAAAACAGCGGGTTAAATTTTAACCGAGGGTTAGCAGCAACAGGGAGACAGTTGTCGAGCTCTAACCATAACAAGTTTATGAATAAATACTAAGGTGATGCCAATAAGGATTACGGGCGTCTCACTCAATTAGTGACATGCCCAGAATCCGGATATTTACCCATTTCTTGAGTCTTGATTGACTATACTTGTTGATGGCTTGAGACTGTGATCCCAAGTAATATCTGTGCAGCCTTGGTCATCAAACATCGAATTTTTTATGCGCCGAACCTAATGTTAATGAGCTTATTATTAGCATGAAAAAATTACTGGATGCTGATTGGTTGAGAGGAGTACAATTATTTCATTAATTGTACTGCAGTACAATTAATGATTTTTCCACAACAAACAAAATGGCGGAAAGGTATTTTAAACACAAGCGTGAAATGTAATTGCCCTACAGGAATTAACTAGATGAAAATACGAACAAAGCCCAAATTGTGCTTTAACAAAAGAACTAAATGAAAATACGGACAAAAGCACCAAATTTTGGTTGAAAATCTGGCAGGACTGGGCTTTGGCGAGAGAATATATGATCTTAACATTGAGAAGTATCCAATTTTGTCATGCTAAGTAATAAACATGTAACTCGCCCCGGCGGCTCGTCCAATTTTGGCAAAATTTCCAAACATCACTCGTACTATTAATCCCTAATTGCACTCGTCATCGCAGATTACCTATACTAAGTTCTTTGTTTCACTTCATTTGCATTAGGTTCGGCGCATGAAAAGTTCGACGTTTGACACTGGCCTAAAAGAGTTGATGAGAGTTAGCCAGCGAGAGTTTGCATGATAGTTTCATCAAGACTCATGCACCGGCGGTTGCACGAGCCTCGCCGGATAGCTTGCACGGCAGGCGTTTATATGCGGGCGGTGGCGAGAAATAAACGCCTGCTGTAATGGCATTACTCCATTAGAGAACAGCGGACAACGGCAGAAAACAAAAAAAAATTCCATTTTTGTACGAGATTCAAAACATACATGCATGCATTCATGCATTACTGAACTTCATTTGTTAAAAGTACTTATTTTTTACTGACAATCTGCCTTAAGGTTACAGGACACCCTTTTTGGCGTTTTGCGGAAAATCGCTACTGCGCGCTCAATATCAGTCCGATTGTCATCAAATTTTCACCAAATGTTCTCCAGTGCATGAAAAATATGGTAAAGTTGTAAAATTAACAAACAATAAAATAATGTAAGAATTATTCAGGAAAATCTTAAATCGCGGTACCGTTACGCTTTTGAGTTGTGCTCCTGCCGGTTTTAAGTTATATTTATGAAAATATCATTTTTATACAGTAAAATAGTTGTTCTAAAAAATTGTGTTCGGAAATTTTTGTTTATTTCGTCATTCCGCTGATATGGCGATTTCTTTGACGACTGCAATATATTTCTGAATCGTTTGAGTGAATTGCTCTTTATTTTTAAAATATCCAAAATTAAAAAAAAGCCGAACACAATTTTGAAGCTGACGTATTTAGCTATGTCCTGTGAAAATTTGAGAGAAATTGGTTAAAACCCGCAGGAGCACAACTCGTTTGAAAATCAGTAATTACCGTAAAATTCTTCGGGAGAAAATTGAATTTGAATATTACATTTTCAATGTTTTTCTTATTGCAGCGAAATGTATTTTATTAAATAACTCTGCGAGTTTTCAACATTTTTCGTTCAAACTTGGTCCGATAGTAGAACTAGTCTAATGCTTTCATTGAAACCAATAAAAAAATTTTAGGCAAAATTAACATTCAAAGGTGTTCTGTAACCTTAAGTAGGTTAGTGAACATAAAACACCCCACACGATTTCGAAGTGTTGGTGTGGTCATGAGCAATCTCGTACCTAACCTGCGAACGGGCATACTCTGGGTACGAGATTGGGTCATGAGCTGTGCAAATGATGTAAAAAACGCAGCAGTTTCAACAACTAAAGCGTACTAGAACGCTTAAGGGAATACAATCCATAGTCGCCTTTGTCTTGGAGTAAAAATCTATTGTTGATGAGATCGCCGCTGTGTTTGCCAAACTCTAAGACCGTAGACGCGACCTGTGAGTGTGATTGACGTGAGCGAAAATAATTTATTCAATGCTTGGGGAAAAAAATTTTCGTTACATACTTTATGATTGAGAAATGTCTATCTAAATACAAATATAAGTTTGATTTGCATGACGGGTCCGTGCCGACAGGTATGTGGCGAAACCACAGCCGTTTTCAAAATCATGCGGCTGAGTTCGGTAGTCTCTGTGGTCTCACGAAAAAAAACGCTCAGGTTGATGCAATATTGATGAAAACAGGATTGAACAATGCTTTGCTGCCCACATTGTTCACAGTTGTCAACAATATTGAACAATGTTGTTACACCCGATTCAGGCTCAACAATGTTGTTCAATATTGTTGACAACTGTGAACAACGTGGGCAGCAAAACATTGTTCAATCCTGTTGAGCAGCGGGCTCGGCGTTTTTTGCCGTGTACTACACTAGATATTACCGCGGTCAATTAATAACTCTCATCAAACTTGATAAAAATTGATGAGATTGCATGGGGAGGAGTTGTAATTAGCCTTTCTTACGAAAGCCAAATTCGCCATTTTTGGGGTACTTTTTTGAATACGACGCCGAAAAATCTAAGCGATGTGAAAACATTTTTTCAAATATTTAACTGTAAATTAACTTAAAAAATGTATTAATAATTCACGAGGAAAATACAAAAGAAATGAATGTTTAATCAATGTTTGTAAATCGAATAAAGATTTGTCCTGATTTACATAAACTTCAGCTTCGATTTTCTCGGCTTAGACAATGTTTATTTTTAAAATTCCTTCGCCAATGAACTCATAAGATCAGATACAGATCGGCTGCTCATGTTTTATCTAGTACTTATAATGATTACACTCACAATTATAGTTATACAAATCCCTTATTCACTGCGTACAATCTCAGATTTGGAAAAGGCAGTACCCCAAAAATCGCGGCGTGAGAAAAGCTAATTGACTGCCATCAAGTGTCATCCTCATTTGACTTATTACACTAATTCTTGATTCCAGTCTGCGCACAGGCGTTTTTAGGGTGTTAGCCCGACTACATGTTCACATATAGCCAACTATTCTACTCTGTCTCTGAAGTCCTATCCCCCTCAGTTCTAGAGTATCCCTGCGATTGTTTATTCCAGAGGTACGCATAGAGACCGGAAGTGTCCTTAAGTAGGTCGTCATGACGACCACGTTCCTTGACGCGCCCGCTTTCCAGCACCAAGATCTCGTCAGCGTCCAGCACTGTCGACAATCGATGTGCAATGACTATTGATGTTCGGTCCTTTGTGAAACGATGCAATGCTCGTAGTATGTTCTAAAGAAAGAAAATAGATTAGGAGGAGATTTTTTTTCAATGTCACGTAAAAAATGTCATTGCAAATACGTGACATTGAAACATATTGCCTCTTAATGTTTTCAACAGAACAGTGAGAACACCCACATCAGGATTTTAGGAGTGGATTTTGTTTATACATTTACTAGACCTAACCAGGAACAAAAAAGCTATTATAGGCCTTCTGGCAGGAATCGATTCGGTCCTGCGATTCTGATACAGCTCTCTAACCAACGAGCTCTAACCACAAGTTCATGTATAAATGTACGGTGTATGGATAAGTATCGGGACTTTGAGCAATCTCACTCGATACAACTAATAGACAATTCCCATTATAGACTAATTTTAAAACTAAGCAAGGAGATGAAAACAAATAGCCTACCACAGCTAGAAAGCGCGGACTAAAATGAGTAATATTGCAAAGTTTGGTTGCGAAATGTTGTAAAATGCAGCCGGAAAATTGCAAAGCCAAGTTTGCAAATTTTGTATGCTTTTGTATTGCGTGTGGAAATTGCTGCCATTTTCAGCCCAAATGTGGTAGGAATTTCTGCACGCAATACAAAAGTATACAAAATTTGGGATTTTTGCAAGGCTATATTTTCCGCATTTTACAACATTTCGCAACCAAACTTTCCAATTTTACTCATTTTAGTATGCTCTTTCCGGGAATATATTTTTTTGCCAAGATAAAAAATTAGTCTATAATGGGAATCCGCCTATTGTTGAAGGGATTTAGTAAAATACCTCGCTTTTCTAAGTTCTAACTTGTTTGTCTGGATAGCTCGTCTTGTGTTTCCACTAAGACAAATGATTTAGAAAACCTTAGAAATACAAATATTTACAAACCATTTCAGTTATTGAATCCAAAGACGACGTAGCTTCATCGTAAAGTAGTATTGGTGGTTTCTTTAATATGGCTCTAGCGATAGCAATACGTTGTTTCTCCCCTCCGGATAACTTCAGACCTCTCTCGCCAACCTGCGTGTCGTAACCATCGGGCCATCGTCGGATTTGGTCGTGAATGTCCGCCAACCTCGCAGCTTCGTAAACTTCTTCAGCGGTAGCATCAATTCGTCCGTAGTTGATGTTGTAGAAGGCCGTGTTGTGGAATAATACAGAGTCCTGGGAAGAGTGACAAATATGGCGGTGTTAAATTTTTATAAAGGTAGATTGACACTACATAACTTTTGCCTAAAACTGTCGCAATGATGCAACCTGCTTCAAACTTGAGTTGTACTGTGTAAATCAAGTACACAACTCAACTACGTTGTCATAGATGAGTTGTGTGTCTGATTTACACAGTACAACTCAGGTTTTAAGCAAGTTGCATTGGTTGCATGCGACAGGTGTTGTGTTGTGTAAATCGGCCTTGATTGGTTGTTGGAGGAATAGTGTTTACAGGCTTTTTTCAGGGATTTTTTAGGGCTGTTAAACGGCCTCAAAAACTCAATCTTGAATTGAGTTTTGAAACTCAGTCTTCTCATCAAAGTTTCAGTGCAGTAAAAATGAAGTTGTTTCAGTTATATTCGTGACGTGTGGAAATTAGTTTTCAGTTGGAAACCCGACAATTAAGAAAAAATGGCTGGAATTCATCTCACAACACAAGAAAAACTATGCATTCGCCATCTTTAACCAGTTTATAGTGTCCCTTAGTGCCCCTGCTTTAACACATTCCGTCTCAACTACATTTATTGAGTACAGGTGTCAGCCCCCCGGTAGGGGGGGGGTGCAGCCACCCCAGCTGTTCAGCTAAACTCAATCTTCTCTGCAAAAACGGACCCAAGAGCAGGGGCGGCGGAACAGGGGGGGCTAGGGGGGCTAAAGCCCCCCCCAGAATTAAAAGTGGGGGGGCTTAGCCCCCCCAGAAAATTTGAGGAAAAATTTAGGTTATTTTTTGAAAATTTAGGTATAAGGGGACAAATTTGCAATATTTTGTTTAAAAAAAGAGTATTTCCGAAAAAATTTTTTGATAAGTCCGAAAAAATTTTTTTCGTCCCTTTTTTTTGTATATTGTACCCCTAAAGTGGTACACTGACCGAAATTTTTTTGGCGACGGAGGGGGGAGGTCGCCGCAAAAATTTAGCCCCCCCAGAACGAAATCTGTTCCGCCGCCGCTGCCCAAGAGAAAATCCGGAAAAAAACCTAAACTGTTTAGTGTCTTGTCGCCTCTGTGACTAGCCTTTGATTTCTTCAATATGCAGTTATTTGGTTATAATTTCAGTCGCGTATTACAAGAGTTCTTAGTACCAAACACTGCAAGTTTCCTCCGAATACTTCTGAAAGACTGTACACTGTATCACTGGACCAATGGACCTATTCCTAATGAACAAAATTTTGATCTAGACAAGTCTACACAAAATTAGTAATATTCCGAAGTTTCGTTGCGAAATGTTGTAAAATGCGGATAATATAGCCCTGCGAAGTTTGCCGTTTTTCAGTCATTTTGTATTACGCACGGGAAATTAATATCGCTTTCTGAAAAAAGGTATCAATTTCCCGTGCGTGATACAAAATGACTGAAAAACGGCAAACTTCGCAGGGCTATATTATCCGCATTTTACAACATTTCGCAACGATACTTCGGAATATTACTAATTTTGTGATGCTCTTTCAAGCTGTGATAAAATTTTTGTCTAGACTTGTCTAGATCAAAATTTTGTTCATTAGGGAATAGGTCCATTCAGCATGTCTCGAACTTCACGATGAACAATTTAGAAGAGATATAGCTAGCCAGTATTCAGTTTATTTTGGTGTAACGGTAGTTAGCATAATTCTCGAAATATACGGTTACCTGTGGAACAATGCCCAATGCCTGACGTAGACTGTCCAATGACAGGTCCCGGGTATCATGTCCAGCTACCAATATTCGTCCGTCGGACGGATCAAAGAAACGATTTAGCAAACGAATCACTGTTGATTTGCTGCAAATAACACAAGAAATTAGAAATCAAGCAGGAGATATTCCCCTTGAAGTGCGTAGAAAATTTGCATTTCGCTACCAAATGAAAACTAAGCCGATTTTCTATTATTAATCACTTATCACGTCAGCAAAATCTGAGTTCCCTAGACCTAGTGGAAAAGCGGATTAATATTGCATTTACCCTGAGCCACTGCCACCAACGATCGCAATTTTCTTTCCAGAGGGAACATCGAAACTTAACCCATCCAAGATCCTCTGACCTTCAACATAACCGAAGTGAACATCTTCAAATCTCACGTGAGCACTGGTATCTCCTGGATTCAGGATGAGAGGAAATGCATCTGGCTTCTCCTGTCAATATCAAAATGGTAAGATGATTTGGATGTAAAATTTTACCAAGTTCATTCAGATAAGCTGTCTTCTAACGCAAGATTTGAGATATCAACAAGGGGTTATAATGTAACCAAGGGTTGAAATTTAAAAGAATATAAGTCGCTCAGGTCGCTACCCGTAAATACGATCTGCATGGTCGCCAATTTTAATATCAGGTCTCCCTACATCAATATGTTATGAAGTGTTCTCTTTGTATATACATAACATAAAAAACAGTTGTTTAATATGTTGGAAAATTATACGCAAAAGTAGAATGACATGCTTGATCAGTGAGATATTTTAGGGCTTTAGAATTACTGTAACAACTAGGCAGACATACCGTTACTTGTGATCTAACACTGCGCAGGTCAAACAATGCCTGCATGTCAATCAGCGACTGACGTATCTCGCGATAAACAGTGCCAAGAAAATTCAAAGGCAATGAAAGTTGAAATAAAAGACCATTGACCATCACTAGATCTCCAACTGTCATTGTTCCTATAAAGACAACAAGAAATTTCTCATTTTCTGCAATTTTCTGCAGTGTCCATTACCATAACTGGAAAGAGCATCTTAAAATGAGTAAAATTACAAAGTTTGGTTGCGAAATGTTGTAAAATAAGGAAAATATAGCCCTGTGAAGTTCGCAAATTTTGTATATATTTGCATTACGCGCGGGAAAAATGACCATTTTTGAAGCCGAAAGTGGTTATTTTTACCGCGTTTAATACAAATATATACAAAATTGGCGAACTTCACAAGGCTATATTTTCTTCATTCTACAACATTTCGCAAACAAACTTTGCAGTTTTACTCATTCTAAGACGCTCTTTCTATCTGTGGTGTTGTATTTCGTTCTTCTTGCCTTGATCAAAATTTAGGATATAGCTGGGATCATCCATTAACTACTGAGAACCTACCTGCGGTAATTTGAGTGCTTGCACACAACATGACAGCAACGAGAGAAGTAGTAAATATGGCGTTCTGACCAAAATTTAACATGGATAAACTTGTGCTAGTTTTCAACGATGCTTTTTCGTAATTTTGTAATAATGCGTCGTATCTTTTTGCTTCGTATTGCTCGTTGTTGAAATACTAGAAAGAAATAAAATGAGACGGTGGGGGAAAGAAATTCACGTCAAAAACGAACTGCGCGCTCACGCAAATGAAAAGCATTTTCCTGTAAACGAAAAACGTTCTCACGTAAACATGTTCTCACGTAAACACGTTCTCGCGCAAACAAAAAGCATCTAAATCTAAGGCACCAAAAATAGCATTCTCACATTCTCGCAAAATCGTTCTCGTGCAATAAAAAATTGTTTTTACCTATTATCAAAAGCGTCCTCACGTAGCAAAATCGTTCTCACGCAAGCAGAAAACACTCGCACGCAAGCAGAAAACGTTCTTAGCTAATGAAAAGGTCGAGCCTTATATCTAAATATACCTTAACAGTTTCGTAGTTGAGTAGGGAGTCAATTGCTAATGATCCTGCTTCATTATCTGCCTTGTTCATTTCGACACGAAATTTTGTCCGCCATTGAGTAATACCAAATGTGAAGAGCGTATAACCAGCGATACATGTTAATGTTATCATGGCAAATTCTTTACCACATTTATACGCCTGTAGGATTGAAACAAGAACTGGTTAAATCAGCAAATGACATACATTTTCCACAAAGCTAGGAAGTTTTACTGACACAATACACAAGTTTCAAAAATGTTAAATAAATTACAACTAACAGTAAACAAGTAAGATTGTACTTAGTCTAGAATTAGGAATATAATAATATCCTTGCAAGATGGGTACACTTGGATGGGTACTGGCACTCCCAGTGTCTTAACTTACCAAAATTCCTGTGACCAATGAAACTTCTAATAACGTTGGAAATATATTGAAAATCAATGCAGTCAGCATAAAGTTGATACCTCTAATTTGGAAAAAGTTGACAAAAAAAGCTTGTGAAGTGAAATTTTTATAAAGATATTTACAAATGCAGACACATGAAGCCTGGTGTGTTTGTCAGAAGATTTGAAGATTTGAAATAATCTGCATCATTCTAAATTATTTTGTTGTGCTGTAAACAAATCAGTGTTTTCTCAATTTAGAGGTAATTAATATTCTATATCCATTCACCAACTTGATATATTCACATCATGACTATAAATGGAATCCGAAACTTAATCATGGCTTAAACAGAACACATTAAGTTACACACAAAGTAACATAAGATGTGTTAAAATAATTTTTTGTAATCGTACCTTGTTCCTCTGTCAATTGCTCTTGAGAGATAACCAGTTTGCCTCGAGAGATGAAAACTGAGATCAAGGTTATGTAAATGCAAGAATGTTCTCTTTGCAACAGTTCTGATTGAGCTTTGTGCTACTTTAGCAAACACAGCATTTCTCAATTCATTAAAAAGGGATGCACCAGCTCTTGCAGCACCGTCTAAATATATTTCAACCTATATTTACTATATGTATCATTTCTTCAACTCCCCAGAGGAATTCCCTGAGTAGCATATTTAGTGTGATTGCAATACCATGTAATACTGTAGTAGTTAGACAGAGTAAAATAATCTGTTGTTAGACAGAATAAAATAATAAAGTAAGACTCATTAGAGTGCAATATAACTTAATGGATTAAGGCATATTGTGACTTAATGTTTAATTAATAACAAGAGACTTAACAAGAGACATACATGGGCAGATAGTCTTCTTAATTAATCCAACACTTTGGACTGTTGGGTGCATGAGGTAACAGCCTATTGAGCTCATTATTAATCAATATATCAAACTTACATCCAAGCAATAAAGCTGTTGTTAGCGTCATGGCACTACCGGCGACAGTGTCCATTAATGGAGCAGCATTATTGAGATGGTCAACTGCATATTTGAATAAAAATGGCACTTGTACATTCAAAACCTAAACATTCAAAAATAGCTTTTTATGTTTTACATCGACCATCCCTGCACAAAACTGAGATTCAAGAGAATTTTACCTTAGATCCAACAAGTAATGAAATTGCTAGTACAACCCTAATCTTTAAATCATTTCGATCCTTTGGCCACACATGATGTAACATACTTTTAATTATGCTTAAACTGTTTGTGATTTGTGGCTTCTTCGTATTGTCAGTTGCTTGAGACGAAGGTAAATGACCTCCGGTTGCACTGCGGTAGAAGTACAGGTTGGGCTAGAAATATGATTAAATAACAACAGAAATTAGCCAGGTTTTGTCAGGGTGGGACCCCTGTAGGTTTTTTGTTGTGGGTGATATGTACCCCTCGCCCCTTGAAAAAGGGATGGGTCCCTGCAAATCTGGCAAGGGTGGAGATTGTCTAGGGACATACCATCAAGTGCATAAAGCATGCATGGGCATACGGGAAGGAAAAAATTAGGGGGGCGGAAAGAAATTTTCCTGACTTTTTCGGATTGTGCCTGCGTTGTCAAAAAAAATTTTCCGTTGAAACTTTCCAGAATTGTTGTTGACGGGGGAGTGATTACGAAAAATTCCTATTAGATAGCCACAAAATTGACAGAATTTGTCCCATTTATTTTTATGATAAGCCAATATTGCCCGACTGTGAAGCAAATATTGCCCGACTGGCTTTGTTTGCCCAACAAACTGGGGGGGGGGCTGCCACCCCCTACGCCTGGTACGCCCATGAAAGCATGTGCTAGATTTAATACACTCAGACCTCTATTGATAACTTTTTAAAGAACCAATCATTTGCATTGTATATAAATTGTTATTACAAATTGTTTAGTGTAATGATAAACATTAAGAAAAAATTATACAAAATTTAGTATTCTAATGATGAAAATATATAATGGCAGATTGCATTTATTTTCTGCACAGGGGGCTTGAGGACAATGGAAAATCCAGGGAAGAGGTGTAAAAAAGGCCTTGGAAAATCCAGAGGGTTGGGTGATTAGAGACCAAAATCCAGGGGATGGTCTGTGATTAAAGCCATTCCAGGGGTATCTAGCAATGAATTCCTTGGAAATTCCAGGGAGGGGTGTATAAACTGAATTCCAGGGGGTCAGAATTTAACTGGTAAAAAGATGTCCTCAATCAACCCCCCTCCCCCCCGTGCGGAAAATAAATGCAATCTGCCAATAAGGCCCAATATATAATAATCTGCAGAACAGTGTGGAGAGTTTGTATCGCGCGCCGGATATCATGTGTTCATATAAAATATTAGTAATGTACTCTAATAATGTAAACAATAAGTACTATTATAAACTGTAATCTACCTTTGCTTGTACACAAGGGCTAGAAAGCAATCCTCGGTGGGTAAAAGAAACAAAGTTTCTTGTGCAATATCGAAAATTCAACAGAGCACAACAAGTACGAATACTTGTTATTTTCGCCGCCATATTTAATTTATTCTTCGCATCAACTCGGAGACTTTCGTATGTTTATCGGGAATTCTCGCCGTTGCTATGCTACGTAATGTCAACAATTGTTGATCGTGTTGTTGCTATGTGATGAAAAACAGCCTTGGACAAAGATAAAACATTACTGGCGATATTTCTCTTTGCATAACACATAGGGGGAAACGTATCCAGTAGAGGAAAACGCCATGGCCACTTCTATGGCTACAAATATCGTTGCTGATGGGTTCACGAGCAAATCAAGACTAAAAAACGCCAAGGTACGTCACGAAATATCTCTCAAACTACAAACGCCGGCCATGTTGTAATATTATACCTTATTGTTTGGCTTCGAATACGCGCTTAAATCTTCGATTCTCTTTCGGTTTTTAGGTTAAAAATCCACCAAAATGCGGAGCCTTTAAAGAAAGACCCGCAGCCAAAACAAGCTTCCGAAAATTTTACGAAAGAGGCGATTTCCCTATCGCTCTAGAGCACGACACAAAAGGCAACAAAATTGCGTGGAAGGTCGAACTTGAGAAGCTGGACTACCATCATTATCTGCCGTTGTTCTTCGATGGTCTGCGAGAAACCGAGCACCCATACGAGTTCTTTGCGAGGCAAGGCGTTCATGATATGCTAGAGCACGGAGGACAGAAGATTCTGCCTGTTGTCCCACAGCTTATAATTCCTTTGAAAAGCGCCTTGAATACAAGAAATCACAAAGTCGTGTGCACTACTTTGAAAGTACTACAACATCTGGTCGTCTCGGGGGAAATGGTTGGCGAAGCGCTAGTGCCTTACTATCGCCAAATTCTGCCAATTTTAAATATCTTTAAGAATAAAAATATAAATTGTGGGGATCGCATCGACTACAGTCAACAACGTCGTGAAAACATGGGCGATCTTATCCAAGAGACACTGGAAAGTTTTGAACGCACTGGAGGCGAGGACGCTTTTATAAATATCAAATATATGGTGCCTACATACGAGTCCTGTATGTTAAACTAATTTAAAACGAAACTGTATATTAGGACGTGTATTGTATACTCAACAATGTGAATAAACTGCTTTTAGAAGTTTTATATATATATATATATATATATATATATATATATATATATATAGATATATATATAGATATATAGCCTAGACCCTAGTAATTCATATATTTTATTCTAATGTTTCTGCGAAATGCGATGTATTATATGATCATGTTCTAAGAATCTAGTTATTTTTTAGATTTTGGTTTAACGCATGTAGACTGCTTGAACAGTAAACAGTATGTTTTGATGTTTAAAAATGATAAATATTTTTACGTATCTATGTTTGATTTATTTGGTTTCATTATTAATTAATGATGCTACAAGCTGTTTTCACAAACACCCGGATATTCCGTTTATATACACATTGAATAACGTCGGTCCCAGAACTGATCCTTGTGGGACTCCATAGCTTAAGCCTGGTTCACATTGATCGTAAACATCGGCAATGCCCATTGTCGGTGGTCATTGATGCATAAAATGTTTTGTGCATTTTCTTCTTCGTTGCTCACAGGCAATGGATCGTAGAACATCGCGATCAATGTGAACCAGGCTTTATACTTCCCTTCAAACATTAATTATAATTCATAAGTTTATTGGCAAATTATGTCAACCATAATATGTCACGTGAAGAGACTTTAGTCTTTACTGATACCTGATAAAACTCATCTTCATTAGTTTCTTTATACAAAAGTCCATTCTAATCCATAATCTTTATATAAAGGTTTCGCACCATATTTCATAAGCTTATTTAGGAGAACTTTACGGTTTATCAGTATCAAACGCTTTCCTAATATGTCATGGCAACGAACATATTTTGCCTTAATTTTTTCACACATCGTGCGGGTCCTCATGATTTCTAGAGGGGTGCTAGACTTTTCTAGAGGGGTGCTAGACTTCCAGAGGGGTGCTAGACTTCTAGAGGGGTGCTAAACAGATGCGCTTCTGACTGACAGAAATGTGTTCTTTGAACATACCTTATGGCTTTGTACGTTCCTGGCTGCCTTGTTTTAGCAATACCGAAACGTCTTTGTTATCGGAAATAGGCGTATTCAAATAAATAAATAAATTCGCTGGCAATAATACTTTTCTTTCGCGGAGTAGCAATAGAGAGTTTGGTAAATACCAGGGCAACGGCAATATGAATCAACAATAGCATTAATCCTCAAAGACAAAGGCGAATGTAAATTACATGGTCTTAAGCGTTGTGCAATGCCGTAGTCGGTTGAAACTACTAAACTAGTACGTGATTTGCACGGTGCATGACTACGGCAACAGTTAATTCGTTCGATGTTATTTGAGGTGTTTTATTTGAATTCGCGGACTATTTGTACTTATGGGTACGTTTGAAAGAAACAGGAATACTTAAAGAGGCAAATTAAGTGTAGTAACGTATACTGTGGCTCAAATACAACAATATAAGCAATTCTATTTTCGCCATTGTCGTTGCCGCTCTAGGTTGCCAAACTCTCTAATGGCGATAAAATGATAACAAGTTTTGTGTTTTTCGATGTGCGTAACATCCACATAAGTATTTTGTCAAAACTTGATTCAGTTTGATGCAGTCAGGGACGCCGGAAAGTCGATAATTGGGGGGGGGGGCAGATATTCATATATTCATTTTCTGCATCATTTATTTCCTTTGAAAGCGATTGTTTTTACAGTCTGTGAACACAAATATATGAATATCAGCCCCCCAATTATCGACTTTCCGGCGTCCCTGGATGCAGCAGTTTGGCTTTTTCAAAAAAATCCGATATTCTATTGGCGGCATGTACCGCTATTTGCTTTAACCGATCTCCTCTACGTACTTTCCAGAATCGTGTATTTGAGTCACATATGATTTGAGTGGACGAAATATTTTCAATACACCCCTTCGATAATAGGCAATTCCAGCTTTTAGTTTATGCGTGCAGGGGACGATGGGAAGTAAGGTATCACATTGCTGATTTGTATGCTGAAAAAATAGAAATGGTGGCCGTGTAAACACGGAGTGATAGCTTATACTTGTAAATATTGAAATGTTTCGGTAGTTTTTATTGACATTTTTCAGCATAATCAGCACTATGATACCTTACTTCCCATCATCCCCTGCAGGCATGAACTAAATGGATTGCCTATTACGTCATTTGGCCTGGGAGCCTCGCTATGAATCGTGAGCCAATCACCGAGCTGCACTTGGAGCTCCACGAATCCACGATCACAAAAGTATGTGTGACGTTTGTGTGACGTAATTATCGAAGGGGTGTATCTTTCTCGTGCTGTTAGGTTTTTCAAAACTAAACAATTCGAACTTGGAAGAGAAGCTGTGAAATATATACAAGTGAAGAAGATTTTAGACGTTTCGCCTCTGGAACCAGGGTATAAGGTATGAAGAAATTCATAATGTTCGTCAAAAGTTTTATTAAATCATATTATTTTGACCTTGTAAGCCAATGGTCACTGTAAGTACTTCTGTACTTCAGTGTATCTTGTGTTAATGTATTTGTATTTAAATGTCTAACCATACTCGACCATATTTAAATATCTAGCCATATACTCAACCATACTCGTGCACTTTTTTAGAACATTTAAAAAGAGTTTAAAATTTAAAAAGAATGGTTTGTTTTTCTTCCCCTACCAGCAGTTGCGACATCAGTTTTGAACGGTAGATTGATAAAATTTTATCTGGTTCACCATTCATATCACTATTAGGACATTACTATATACTAACGCCTTCCCGGCTAAAATATTATAAAATTTTAGATTTTCAGTCAACTTTGTCTTTCATTTTTTGCCTGTATTAGTAAATATGTAAAGAGGAAATCGCTGGCACTGCCAGAGATTCACGACAACTGAAACTAAAATATGCTTTACGCCTTTAGTCTTTACTTTATATATCGCATAGTTCTATCAGTTCTTATCCTATGTATATACTAATTCTAAACGCCGTGGCGCTCCAGCGTAGAGAGTTTACATAAAATAGCGGCGTTCTGGATTGTATATATTATCTGAAAGATAGAAATAAAACTCCACGATTTGAGCAAAGTGTCCAAAGACCCTTCTCAGGAGATTTAATAGTAGGCAGAAAAAGTACAAAGAAAACTGCGGGTGTTTGTCAAACTAAACATGCGAAATTATAGTCAGATAACCGTAAAATATGCTGGAATCAAATCTTACTAGGGGAAATGGAGACTGCCTTAGCGAACGAAAAGAAATATGACGCCGTTTTGCAAGCATATTAAAGAAATAATCTATGTTCAAATGAGGAACTCAATATAGCTGACTAGTCACAAAATGATATGACGTCATTGTATCGACGAAGCTCATTCGAGCATACGACAAACATCAAGATGGCGGTTATCATGCAAGGAGTGAGAACTTTTTTCTTTTTTTTTTATGAAGTTTTCCCTATGTACAATTTTTTTTTATATAAAGATAGATTTCTAATAAAAATGTTGGGCTAGGAACCTACCAGAAACCTTTACAGGCCCCTAGTTTTGTTCATGTTATGAAAATTTATCAATATAATTATACAGACATTGTTCAAAGAATAAAAAAAGTTTTAAAATGTATAGAACTATTTACAAATTAACGAAGGAAATGTGATGTTGAATACAGGCCGTTTGTTTTTCCTTAAAAGCTTCATTTAGAAGAAAATGTTGTTTAATTTGTTTTTTAAAGGTACTTAACGAATTTATACTTTTGAAATTTGGATCTAGTTTATTCCATATTTCAACTCCTTTGGTTGATAAAGTTTCTTTTACATAATTTTTCTATTATATGTTCTGTTATTAATATTTAATACCAGTCAGTGAACTCCATGTCTTTTATGTTTATCCATGGTACAGTAAATAGATTGAGTTCACAGAGAATTACCAGCATTTATACTGACTCTTTTTCAATCCTTATTAATCAGACTTTGTACACAGTTCTTAATAGTCAGTGATTTTAGGCCGAGGGAATTAAAGTCATGTAGAATACCGTCCTCCGCCCGCATGTCCAAAATGCTGCCACAAAAAAATCATTATTTCAAAATTTTCATTATTTCAAGAATTATGTATACTTTAAAGTTTAAACTATAACTCGTCGCAGAAGTCATGTATTAAGGGTAAAGTCTACCTGTGCGGCAAAACTCCACTCGTATAGGTACTATTCAACGCCATATAAACCGATTACCGACGATGTGTGTGTTCCGAAAGCCTTCCGATGTGGTCGGCCAATAAACGTTGATGAACTACGCATATCTAAACTCTTTTCAAATTTTGATTTATTCGCTTTAAATGAAACTAGACCAGACAATACCATTTCGGATGGCTTAGTGAATATTAGTGGCTACGATATATAGTCAGGAAAGATCGATCTCGCCGAGGGGGTAGTGTATGTATTTACCTTCGCACTTCTATTAACTATAAAATTCGAAATGAACTAGTTCCTGAAGGTATCGAAGCAGTATGTTTGGAGATTTGCAAACCAAATAGCAAAAATTTTATTGTTGCATCAGTTGCATCTGTCTATCACCCACCAGTCGGGCAGATTCCACACCTGAGTTCTTTGTTGAATTTGAAAAGATGATCAAATTGATTGATGACGAAAACAAAGAACTGCATATCTTAGGACTTAGGGGATTTAAACTGTAACTTGCTTAATATTAATTCTAACCAACCAACTAAAACCCTGAAAGCTATATTAGAAACATACCAGCTATCCCAACTTATTACTGAGGCGACACGAATAACAGACATTTCTTGTACTATTATAGATCACTATATACATGTATAACATCTATGCCAGAGAAAATTAATTCGACTGGCGTAATTCATACGGGAATTAGTGATCATAGCTTAATTTATGAATTATGGCATAAGAAAAATCAATCGCATTATGTCTGCACGCGAAGAGACTAGGAATGTTGAGGTTAGAAACATGAAAAGGTTTAGTCCTAATTCTTTTAACGAGGATCTTCTTGCCCAGCCGTGGGAGCACATTGTTTTGGAACCAGATACGGCAGATACCGATTCTATGTGGGCCCTTTGGAAAAAGTTATTTTCGGAAGTCTTGGACAAGCATGCCCCTGTCCGACATATTAGGAAAAGAAAATCCGCTGTCCCGTGGCTGACTGGGGAAATTAAAAAAATGATTTTTGAAAGAGATAAATTAAAGCGTAAAGCAATGGTGACGGGTTCCCGTGTTGCCTGGGATGAGTACAAAACAACTAGGAATAAGGTTAATATTTCCCTACGACAAACTAGAGCAGATTATTTTCGTACTAAAATATCCAATCAAAACAATAATCCGAAAAAAGCTTGGAAGACTATCAACAATTTACTCGGTCGTTCTTCAAGTAACACCGTTGTAAGTGAATTAAAGTTTAATGATGCAAAAATTACCTCATCTGAAAAAAATGCCAATGCTTTTAACACGTATTTTACCGAGATTGGCCCTAAACTAGCTATAGTTCTATGGATGATACTGACATAACGTTTGAACGTTTCGTCAAACCAGCTACATAAAAAATGTCACGTTTTAAGTTAGTTTCACATACTAAAGTATACTTAAGCTTCTTAACGATGATGATAACTTGATACTTTCTGAAATGGTTTTCGTAAATCTCATTCAACTGCTTCGGCTCTTTTGGATTGCACGAATAGTTGGTACGTTAATATAGACAGGAAAATGTTTAATTTGATTGTATTATTGGATCTAAAAAAGGCTTTTGATACCGTTAACCATGATATTTTGATGCGTAAACTTGAGTTATACGGCATCACTGGCAGCGCCTTAACCATGATGCAATCATATTTGACTGATCGCAAACAGAAATGCCAACTAGGAGATGTAGTATCATCCGAGCGGCATGTGACATGCGGTGATTCCTTAGGAGTCCATTCTTGGTCCACTTCTCTTCCTTTTATACATAAATGATCTTCCGGAATGTCTTAATCAAACAACCCCTCTGTTATTTGCTGATGACACCAATAGTTTCGGTAGCTGGTGAGCCCGGTCCATATAGAGGAGGTTGAGTTGGCCATGAATAATGATCTTCTTTGTGTAAATGCATGGCTTTTGGCAAATAAATTGAGTCTCAATGCTTCAAAAACCGCATTTATACTTATTGGTTCAAGTCATAGATTAAAGAACCTTACCAAACAGCCGAATATAAAAATAGATCAAGACAAAATTAAGCAAGTTCACCATAGTAGACTACTTGGGGTTGAAATTGATGAAAAATTGTCTTGGAACAAGCATGTTGAAAACGTAGCCAAAAAAGGCTACTTCCGGCATGGGAGCAATAAGAAGAATCCGAGATTTTGTGGATAGAGAAACCTTGATCTCTATCTACAATGCATTAGTTTGTCCTCATTTTGATTATTGCAGTGAGGTATGGGATACCCTGGGCATTGGTCTTTCAACTCGACTTCAAAAACTTCAGAATAGAGCTGCAAGGATAATATTGAGTATGAAAAATGATACCCCTGGATTAGAAGTATTTTCTGCTTTAGGGTGGGAAACTCTTGAGTCTCAACGAACCAAGTCAAAAGCAATTCAAATGTATAAAGTTTTAAATGATTTGGCTCCAAACGCACTTGTCAATCTTGTGCGCAAAAGTGACATCACAGATTATGAGCTCAGGGGCTCCACTACCTCTCTGCAAATACCTTTTCCCAGAACTGAAAATCTAAAAAAATGTTTTTCTTATGATGGGGCGAAATTGTGGAATTCCTTACTGATATGACTTTAATTCCCTCGGCCTTATAAATACGAACAACTATTAATTGTGGACTTGCAGTATACAGTTTTTGTTTTGAAGTTGTATCATGGTAAGTCACACACATTTTTGGCAGTCAACGCAGTCAAATAAAGCCATAAACAAAAATTTGAATAATGCATATTACCATTATTAATTAAAATACGAGTAATATATACGAATTTAGTAAAAAATATATGAACTACAGTATACTCGTAGTGTTTTTTTTTATATTAATGTATCAGTAAGGATAACTTTAACATGTAAGATCATTGATCATAACAACCTTTTAAAACTCATATAATGAAGGATTACCATTATGACAACTTCGAAATAAAAACTATATGCTGCAAGTCCCCAATAGTTGTTCGTATTTATCAAATCACCGACTGAGACCTGCTTACAAAGTCTGATTTAAAATAAGGATTGAAAAAGAGTCAGTATAAATAATTCTCACTCCTTGATAACCACCATGCATTTGAATTTTGTTATGTGAACTTTGTAAGTTCTTACGATCACTAACATGCAGTGACGTCATGTCATTTTGAGGCCAGTACGCAAAATAACTTCTTCCACCTGCTATATGTAATATGTATATATGTATTTACTCAATTAAATTTTTGGTGCTGCGGCGCTTATTAGAAGGTAGCGTTTATTGAAGGACATCGTTTATTGTAAATCTGTTGGAAAGAGAACTGAAACGAGTAGAGCAATGAAATATAGTCACTTAGTCAAACTAAAAAAAATAATTGTATTCAAAAAGAATAAATTTGCAAAGCTAAATTTCCACAATTTTCAGTAGTACTGAATTGCTGAACATTGGATTTTTTTCAACAGGGATGGACTGCAATAATACATCAGTGAAGATAAAGGAATTGATTCAGCTCCTGTTTCCTCGTCAGCTAGACAAATCTGATTGGTTGGTAAAATGTCTTGCAATCCTAATATTCATTCTAATCTTACTTATCCCAGTACTCCTTGTATGCTTTGGATACCATTTGCATATGCAGATGGATCCAGAGAACTACTTCATATATGACGATTATACAGGAAATGGTACACAGTTGACAAGGCCGATGTGGATGATGTTTCGGCGGGGGACATGCCCACATGATGTAAACTCGTTTGGCTCAACTTTACAGCCGAAGGTTTACAACTTGACGTTCCAGACATGAACGGTCCTGCCTAACATACAATAATTGTTGCAAAAATACACGTGTGAAAAAAGAATGTTCCAAAAAATACCCCCAAAGAGAAACAATCTGGTGGTACACAGTGACACAGTCATGATGGATAGATAGAGACTTTATTTAAAGAGGGTATATAGGACAATACATTTATAATAAATAAGAACATTAGCTATATTATAATTATATATTACTTAAATTTGAAATCAGGAAAAGATGTAAATTGTTTAAATTCACTCTGGTGCGTATGATAAGGTTGCAAAACTGAAGGCGTCTTGTGAAGTGTTCGATGCAAAGATAGATTGCCAGGAAACGACAAGTAAAAAAATAAGTAGGGCGCATTGGGGCGCATTGCGGCTCAATGGGTTAAGGAGGTGAAACGAGGGAATATCTCATTTTATAAGAAAAAAAGAGTTATTCGTCTTTTTTAAATATATTTGATACACTTAGAATTAGAATAAAGTGCTAATCTCTTCAGTGTGACCAGATGTTTTTCGGTGATTATTACCAAAGTTGTGCCGAGGTAAAAATATTGTAATGATGATAATGATAAGAAATAACACGAAATAATAATATGTAAGTAATGTTTACAACATGAGCGGCCGTGTTGTATCAGATATACAAACTCGAGCTGAAGGCGAGAGTTTGTATATCTGCTAAAACACGGACGCGAATGTTGTAAACAACTTAAAAAACGACTCAGCTTATGAGTTCATTGGCGAAGTAATTTTAAAAATAAACGTTGTGAAAGCCGAGAAAATCAAACTTAAAATTTATGTAAATCAACATGAATCGGTATCACATATACAGATACGACACGCTTATGATCAGTTTTCTTTGTGTTTTCTTCATGAATTATTAATGAGTTTTTAATAATTAATACATGAGTCGAACCATAATAAGTAATAACATGTAGTAATAATAACATAAGGGTTGAGTCGAACCATGAGGGTTGAGTCCAGCCCACCCGTATATACAATTAATGAACGGTCCCTAAGAGATCCTAAGCGAAATTTAGGTTTTTCAGCCATTCAAAAAAAGTTGTCCTTTGTAGTTTGCAAACCTTAAACTTTATTAACCTTAAAGAGTGCAAAGCTTAAATGGGAGCACACGTTTCAAACCTAGTAGTTGAATATTGCAGATATTTTCCATGTCTCTGCGAAATGGGCCCCATACAATAATAATAACTTTATTCCAATCAAAATACCAATATTAAATGGTGAATACAACATGTAGGAATACAACATACATGATTTCTAAACTGTTAAATGATGCTCCCATTATGCTTTGCAAAGAAAGAGTATGCTTTGCTTAGAGTTTAAGGTTTAGTTTTTAGAGTTTAAGGCTTGCAAAGGACAACCTTTTTCTGAATTAGCTGTATATATATGAGCGTGCTCATGAGATACCAAAATAAAGTATGCTCATAAGCATGCTCATATATGTACCAAAATCCAATACGCTCATGAGCAATCTCGTAAATACCAAAATCCATTATCCTCATAAGAATGCTTATCGGCATTTTACTGTATTTTGGTATATAAATTAACGTGCTCATGAGCATACCAAAATAACGTATGCTCATATTAAAGCACGCTCATATATGTACTAAAATCCAGTACCCTCATATATATCAAAATCCGTTGGCATGCACCCCCGGGAAAATTTTGAAGTCAAGTCCCTGAAACACTATTTCAAGCATTTTTGGGGTAAAATCTTGCAGACAGACATGAATTTTCCCAGACATTTCTCCTCGGAATTAAATAAACAGTTGGAAAAGTCACTTTGAAAACAGGAGGAGGGGTCAGTGTCACCATATTTCCCCTCTGTGATGCTGGGAGGAGAAATTCCCAATGTGATTTTGATCAGAAATGTTGCATTTAAACTAAACTAAATATATTCTTCTTGGAACCATATTTACAACTGCTTTAACAAGATTTTACAAATAAAGTTTCTCCAGTAACGTCGTCGTTTTCCTCAGCCGAGATGTACTTAGTCAGTTTCAGCTTCGAGCATGTAACGCGTACCCCCGCCCCATTTCTCTACGGATTTAGCCCTTTTGAGAGAATGGGTTTTTTGGGGGGGCGACCGCTCGTCCCCGCCACTGCTCTAATCATAACGTTCCCGCTTTTTTGTGCTTTTTTTCAAATATACATTTGGTAATGATTTGTGGCCGGGCATATTTTTCAAGTTCGCCCGTTGTGGATATACACTCAGAGTAACACCACAAATATCAATATCTTATTTTTCACCCTGCTCGGTTTCCTTTGTTCTTATCGGGGAATATATTCAATATTCCACTCTATTCAATTTCCGTTTAATAATCCCCTCTAATATTCACCTGCAATTAATAATCCCCTCTAATATTCACCTGCAATTAATAATCCCCTCTAATATTCACCTGCAATGTCTTTGCAGCACAAAAAATGAGAAAAAACAACATCGCAAAAGCAATATGGCATTGAGAATTATTTCTTTTCTGACTCATTAACGCTACCTCGCAGTGTGAAAAATAAGTACGTTATTTTGAGGCACCTCGGGGATATGTGTTTATTCACCTCGGCGCTGCGCGCCTCGGTGAATAAATCACATATCCCCTCGTTGCCTCAAAATAACCTATACATATTCACATTGGTAAATTGTTAACCCCCCCCCCAGTGAACTGACCCCCCAATAAAAAAATTCAATATGGCCGATAATGCGAAGTGCATTTACGATAAACAAACGGAAATTTTATGCGATTTATGAAACTTTATTCTAATTATAAGACGGATTCAAGGAAACTGGTCTGTTGATTTATTTAATATGGCCTTTCGGACTCGATAAATTTGAGAGAAGCCGTTCAATTTCATACTACAAGTCAAATATGAGCGGTGGACTCGCTCCTAGCAAGTCGACAATTTACGTTGGAAATTTGCCTTATTCTCTGACGAACAATGATTTGCACAAGGTCGGTATTTTTTTGTCGTGTTATTGTTGATATTGTTGTGGCTTTTGTTGGTTAGTTGTTGTAGTTGTTTGATATCTAAATGCTTTTGTATTGGTTTTTTTTTATGATGTGACCCAAATATAGGCAATGTATTTAATAAGTCTAGCCACGACGATGAAATAACGATATATACATAATTGAAAATGCTTGGTTATCTTCGGTCCATGCGTTTACATTATCAGAACAATAGACCATTGGAAAATAGATTTTGTCCTGCTTTGTAGAATTGGTACAAAAAGGTATTTTTCTGTGCAAATATAAAATAGGGCTAGCACCAATGTGCCATCCCTTACCGGCTGTCCCTATTACTTGGCCAGTGAGTTATCAGATAATATCTGGGCAGAAACTTGAGTTCAGTACTGGAGGAAAATCTTCCAAGCACTGGGGGGAACCAATCAAAACTGACCCAAAGACGAGAGCAAAATGGTCACCGTACGAAAATTTGTGGGGCTAATAGTCCAAAGAACAAATTGATTAAATTTTGGATGAAAATTGGATGAGAAATTAGCACAAAAGTTTGTCTTGCTTTCCGGGCAGACAAAACGCAATGGGTGTATTTATGCATGGTATGTAACTTGTGCCCTCTAGTTTTTAAGGTGGAGCTTATTAGAGAGAGGGGGGGGGGCTTTATAGACCATTGACTGTAATTGAACTTTTCTTGGGTTTTTTTCAGATTTTTGAAAAGTATGGCAAAGTGGTCAAGTATGTAAATCATATATTAAATTTTTGGTGTATTTATAACTTTACTGCCAGAGTGAACCAGTGATGTTTTCCAGGGGGAACGCGGGGGAACGCCGTCCCCCCACCTTTTTTACCAGGGGAACGGCGTCCCCCTGCCAAAATCAAACATGGGGGAACGGCGTTCCCCCTGGCAGGGATTAACTATGAGTGAAATTCAGTGAACGCTGTTCGACACCGTCCAATAATTTTGGCTGTCACTTGTACAGTCAGTACAAACATTGTACTACATACGTGATATTTTTTACAATAATTGCTCCGCAGTCGATCTATGTAGAAATACTTCAGAATGTAATTTTGTCACTATTTTAATCTCCCTGGAACTTGATATACTTGCAGAAAATTCTAGCAGACTAGCTTGATATAACTACTTGTTGTCAAAAGTGTGGATCGCGTCAGGCAGCAGCCCAGCAGGATATAATTACTCTAGTCTTTCGCGCAATCGCGAAATTAATTAAACATTAAAATGATCAATTGGAACATAAAATGATTCAATGAGAACATTAACATGATTAAATGGGAAAAATTCAAGGATATTTATTATCTAAGCTTATTTAGTTACTCGCAAAAATTTCATATTTAACTTGCAAAGTTGCCTGCTTGCCGAGTTGCCGCATACTCAGTGCTCACATAGCGCTAATTGCATCGTCGAAATTCGAAAAACAACGTAGTTTTATTTACTTTTTGGCATCTACCGCGAGCAAGCTAGGTGTTTTTTAGGTATCATGTTCTACTAAATCCACTTCAAAGATTAAGCTATTACGAGTATGTACTTGTTCGCTATGACCGTGCATGAGGCCACGCCCAATCGAGTGACCACGCCCATTTGATTTTCAAGAGCGTCCCCCCACTTCTAAAATTAGGAAAACATCGCTGGAGTGAACTTCAAGTAAACTTGACCTACCATATTGTTACACTATTCTAGGGTAACAATTGTAAGAGACAAGATATCGAGAGAAAGTAAAGGCGTTGCTTTCATCTTATTTTTGGACAGAGACTCAGCCCAGAAAGCTGTCAGTGCTATCAACAAAAAACAGGTCTGTTTGATGGAAATTGCCCGACCAATACAAAAAAAATTTCCGTGATAAAATTCCTTGTAGTATCAGCCAAAAAAATCTTTGGAATTAATTTTCAGATGTTTGGTCGCACTATCAAATGTACTATTGCACAGGACAATGGACGTGCTACGGAGTTTATTCGAAAGAAATATTACCCAGATAAAACACAATGTTATGAATGTGGGGTGTGTATAAAAGTTGTTTCATGTTAAGATCGGAAAGGTTAGTTTTTTAACCAATCTAATATTTTCTGTCAAGGACGACGGCCACCTCAGTTATAACTGTCCAAAGAACATGTTGGGTGATCGAGAACCTCCACCAAAGAAAGAAAAGAGAAAGAGAAAATATGAAGACGAAGAAGAAGATAAGTATGTCTCCAGTCCAAAATCTAAATCAAGTTTGAAAGCGATCTTAATCCACTCCGATCATGAGCGGCCGTGTTGTATCGGATATACAAACTCGAATGGTTTGTGAAACGTCTTGATGAGAATATTCGTATTCTTCAACAATTTAAAATAAATTAATGATTTTGTATATAAACACCTTCACAGTTATGATTTCTTTTGTGTTTTCTTCATGAATTATTAATGATTTTCACAATGTTTGTTAGTTACAACGTTTTAGGTCATTTTAAATGGAATTTGGTAAGGGTCTTCTCCAGAACAAGCATTTTTCTGCGTGGAATCATATACTACATCCTGTAGAAGTAACCCCTTTAGAAGTCTATGAAAGACATATCTTGAAATGTCTGTGCCAGTGTAGGTAGTGCCAATAATATGAACAAGCTTTCGTTGGTACTGAAATTCTCCTTATATTTTTCAGGTAATTGCATCCCTACCAACGAAAGCTTGTTCATACCAAAGACATGTACATTTGGTTTTACTTGTGCCCCTCTCTATTTAGACAGCAGAATGTTGATGAAGATGAGGACGAGTATATTGAAGATCCTTACAATGACAGCTTAAGTGCAGCAATTGCTGAGTCGGCAGCTTTAGCTGAACGGGAACGAAGTACGAACAAAGGAGAAAGTTCGTCCCGAGATGTCAAACAGAGGAAAACTATCAAGAAAGATTCTTACTTTAGCGATGAGGAAGATAGCAACTAAAAAAGGCTTTGTTAAAAGAGTAGTTCATAATGTGAAGGTAGGGCAACATATGGGGAAGGGCGTGGCACGAGGAGGGGGGGGGGCAGACACCAGGAATGTTATCATTATCAAGAAAGATTCTTACCATAGGCATACAAGGGAAGGGGGACTGCCTCCCCAACACCAAAATAAATTAGAAAATGAAGGACATTTGCATAAATGGTGAAGTTTTTTATCCAGTAACTCCCAGTTTAAATATTTATCACCACTCCACTTTTTGAACTGCAGTCCTGATGTTGTATCAAATATGTATATTATGTTAACATTCTTACACTGACTTTATAATGTACACTATTCTTGCACTACATTTATGTACAATAAAAATTATCAAAGTAGTCTTGAAGGTATAGTATCAGTTTTGGGAACAACTGTTGTACGTAGTTCATTGTTGGCATAGCAACCGCTTTGGTTGTGCCACGTGTTGTTACCACGGTGACGATAATCATCAACATCTGTGAATTGTGAGTGACATTTCTTCCACAGAGGTGACGAGTTGTATTCATATGGATCATCAACGTCTGGTGTCTTTAATTTGGATAGATAGAAAGATAAGATAAGATGATAGAAAATATGACTGCATATATGATTGGTATAATGTGCTAACCCATACATATATTCAATTACCTTTGATGTATACGGATATGGTGGCTGAAAGTCCACCTTTTGAGTTGTATCAAAGTACCTGGAATTGGTGAAAATTGACATAGTGTAAGCATTGATTAGTTGGTAATTGTTTGATAAATTGAGTTGACACTTGACAAATTACTTGATGGAATAATTGATTGCAAACTGTTTGAATAATTGGTGAAATATTTGAATTGAATGGTTGATTGATATAGATGATTGATTAAATTATTGACTGAATGGTGGGTGATATAACTGATGATTTAATGATTACTTTACTGATAATTTGTTTAATGAATGGTTAATCAATCAAAGATAATACACAGACTTGCTCACTGATGTTTTTTTTGATTAGCTGATTTTGACTGATTAATGTTTTATTTACTGGCTGACTGATTAAATGATTGTTCGTTCTATGTATTTCTCACCTCCTGTTATGATCGACAGCATGTCTGGGTAGTACACTACCATATCCTCGACTTGGACACCCTGTATCACTATGCATATGAAAATAAGAAAAACATCATATTAATTAGGATTGAATATAAACTCTAATAAAAATAGTGGATAGAACAAGATTAACCAGCAATGCACTTGACTTATATATTTCATATTTGACACCCACCGATTTAAGTCAGCATGATCAAAATTATCCTGGTTAATCATTGACACTCGTGTTACTTTGGGCTGAAAATCATCCTTCAATTTAATAGCTTCTTGCATCTGGTCATGGCTGGTTGATATAAGTGATGACTAAAAATTAATAAGGCAGCTTTAGTACCATTGCTAGTATATAGGCTGTGCTATTCTAGTTGGTTCGTCTGAATAGTTTGTCTTGCTTGCATTTACACTAAGATGGACGAGCCGTAGAGGGATAATGCATCTAGGAGGATTAAATCAGTTTCTGATATAAGTGGAGCATAAGGTATGAAAGGAATACAAGACAAATCTCTCACTGTATTACTGTTTCCATTTCCAACTCTTCTGTATGTTGAAAGATGCAAGCGTCTCTTGGCTGGATCATGTTCATTTATATCATAGTCTTTGGGTTCTGATTCTCGTGCTTGGTGCCTTGATGATAAAAGCAAGTAACACTTATTTGAAATTAAATGCAATATGAGGAAGGACTGTCTGACCGAGCGACCAGGACCAACCGACTGACCGGGACCAACTGACCAACCTGGACCAACAGACTGTTTCTGGACCAACCAATCCACCCATCAATCACTGATGGACTGGACCGGCTGATTCAATACTCATATGTTACCCACATTTACTATGGTAATTCATACACAAAGAACAGCAAAAATTCTCATCAACATTGCATGCAAGATTTTTTGAAATTGAGAACTCACCAATTTGAAATCAGGGTCGCTCTTCCATAATCCATGTGGTCTGAGCGAAGAAATAAAGACCCTTTTCGCTCCATAAAGTCAGGAACAGATGGTGAAGCCATTTTCAATTGAAAATTTTACCTAAAATTCTTAAAAAACACTGAAACTCATTCAAAACACACAAGATGCAAAATAGAACGAAAATATTGATTATATACGTTGCCATGGTGAACAGTGCTTCCACTTGATAATGTAGTACTTCCTTGTGTAGTAATGCCTTGAAATTTTCTCATTGAATTTCCTTTTTGAAAGATCTTTTATATTTCGAAATACCTAACATATTCCCAGCGTATGTATTAAGGGTTTTTAAATAATGTATAAGTGTAGAATTTATTGCTATTTTCTAAATTGATTTACTTGTAAATTGTGCGTATCATTTATATTTCATAATCTATAGCCAAATATATTTTAAAGTATAAAGAAAATTCAAAATATATAAATGAATGCCATAATGGAACTATGGAAGCACATTCACACCAAAAAACCAACATGGCGGATGGTTCTTCAAATTTTGAAAAAACAAATTCTCGAGCTTTTTACTCTAATTCCAATGAAACCAACTCAAAATCTAAAGCAATTTCAAAGTCAAATAAGAAAGTCGTCATTCCCAAGCAAGTAGAAAAAATTTTGGAGTCAGCACAGACATTTTTATCAAGAAATGACTATGGCAAAGCCTTGTCCCATTTTGCTTACATTGTCCATACCGCTCCATTGCTAGGCGACCAAGTCCATGACGATTTTCTATTCGCTCTGAAAAACTGGAGCAGTATCCTAGCAGAAAATGGCAAATTGAAAGACTTGGTAAAATGCTTAGAAGAAGCTTGCAAACTTTTCCCGAAGTCGGCCCAAATTGCAAACAATGTTGGCTCCACCCTGTTCCGGTTAAACCTGTTTGACGAGGCTGCTGTCCACTTCCGTCAGGCACTAAAGCTCGATCCACAGCTCAGCAGTGCCGAGGAGAACTTAGACTCTATTGCAAACGTGCTTGTCGAACGATGGCACTTTCGGATGCTTAATGACAAGGAACGAAATCAAGCCTATAGGAATGCTATAGATCGTGCTGTGAAAAAGGGGTGTGGTCAAGTCTTAGATATCGGTAGTGGAACATGTATTTTAAGCATGTTTGCTATCCAGTCAGGTGCTAAAGAAGTGTATGCTTGCGAGATGTCCAAGACAATGTATGATCTTTCATTGGATATCCTATCAGCCAATCAGATGAAAGATTCTGTCCATGTGATTAACAAGAAGTCACATGATTTGACGATACTTGGTGACCTGCCTGGGCAAGTCTCACTGATTATTACCGAGACCTTAGATTGCGGTTTACTAGGGGAGGGAATCATAAGTACATTAACCCATGCAAAACATGAGCTTTTAGCAGCCAATCAGAAAGCTCAAATTATTCCCGAGGGAGCTATTGTATATGGGCAGCTAATCCAATGTGAGAAGATCAGAAATTATTCCCAAGTAAAGCAGGCTGTTTTTAGCCATGATGTAAGTAGTGTCCATATCCGAGGTGCTGAAATTTCTGAGAAAGGTGAAGAGCCTTACACAACTGAAGAGATGAGCTGTATTGACCATGTGACTCTATCGAATCCTTTCCACATAACAACTTATGATTTCCAAACACCTGAGAACTACATGGAAGAATCTATGAACGACCTTAATATTTCAATTGTTAGATCAGGCTGTTTAGATGCTATTATGGTGTGGTTTGAACTAAGGTTGGATGCTCAGGAAACTTTGTCGAGTGCTCCAGGTCACAGTGTATGCTGGGAACAGGCTGTCTATCCATGCCGACTCTCAGAAGGCGAACAAACTGTTGAGGCCAGTGATGAAGTCATATTGAATGTCCGACTGACAAGCAGTGCAATATGTCTGGATGTTCTGGACATTACTAAAAGTCAGTCTATTCAGCCATCTCCTAAGGTTGATGGTATTTTGTCTTCTCAAGAACTAAGCAAGTTGAATGATGTTGAAAGCGGTCACGCTGTTCCAGCAAGCTCTAAGCATAATACTAGTACAAATTTGCCATATCAAGAGCTAAACAAGTTGAATGATGTTGAATTAAGTGAGAGTATCACGTTGCCTTATCAAGATATAAGCAAGTTAAATGATGTTGATTTAACCGAAAGTTGCAATGAGGCACTCTCGGATGCATTTGAGAAGCTGAAATTATCTTCTAACGATTCAACCCTGGGATGCATTGTGCTATGCAGTTCACCGACTTTCAATCCAATGTTTGCATTATGGTCAGGACTTTCACCTGTTGTTTGCATCACCAATGACACAAATTTTATGCAGTGTTTGAAAACACTAGCTGGTGAGAGGGAATGCTCAGGAAGCCTTTGTTTCATGGACAAGCCCCTCGAAGTGCTAGCTGGAACCGAAGGCTGGGGCGTCCTGATAATCGACCCTATCGAACCAGGCGGGCAGCTGAGGCAAGGAGTGGTCGAAGATATTGTGCTTGCCAAAGGATGTGTGCTCCCTAAGGATGTTGGGATAGTCTTGCCGAGAAAGATTGAAGTCTGTGGAATGTTGATCAGCTCTAGATCATTATGTCAGAAAAGTCATGTGACTAGTGATGGTGTCACATTAGGCCTTGACATTGCAGGTCATTGTCTTTATTGTTAGTAGCAGTAGTAGTAGTATCATTAGACTTGCTCCAAGTCTCTCTTGCATTGTCATATCGATCCACTATAGTGTACATTACATGACGTAGCACGGAGAGGCGGAGCGAGAAAGAGAGACTTGTCAACTTCAGAAAATCTCGGTTGAAAACTGAACCGAAAATGCAAGACTTGCTTTAATTCTTTTCCTTCAATTTCTTTCTTTATCATTTACTATAATGGAACTCATGTTATTTACACTTTACTAGATCAATACATATAAACACTGACAGAAAATAATTAAAGCAAGTCTTGCATTTTCAGTTCAGTTTTGAACCGAGATTTTCCGAAGTTGACAAGTCTCTCTTTCTCGCTCTGCCCCTCCGTACTACGTCATGTAATGTACACTATAGTGGACCGATACTATATGACAATGAAAGAGAGACTTGGAGCAAGTCTATAGTATCATTGGCCCAATTTATACTAAAGACAGTTGACCACCATCCAGTCACAATCTGGTGATCCAAAAAATTGGAAAATACCACTGTTCTCCATGCCATCCAGTCACTTGTTGTGTTGATATATTTATGCCATGATACAAAATGCTAATTTTGTTATTTTTGCAGGTTTTATCAACACTTTTCGAGTCAAAAACCAAATTGATTTTGATGTCAAAAGTAACCCCTTTGTCTCACTGACCGATCCAGCACTACTTCTAACATTGGATTTTATGAAACCTCATGATGACGATTCCTTACTTTCCCTCTTGAATGTGACATGTGATGCGCACATGACAGCATCGAAACAAGGAAAGGCTGATGGTCTGATGTATTGGTTCAACCTTGGCTATACAGAAGGAAAAACGGTGAGCACAGGCCCGGAATCTGGCTGTCATTTTAATCAAGTTGTTATAATGTTTAAAGAGAAGGTTGATGTAATCTCTGGGCAGAAGTTGGTTGTAAGGACATCTTGTAAGAACAGTTGTGTCATGGCTACCGTTCATGCAGGCACTTTAAATGAATATTCACAACCTCTTTTTGTAGTACCAAATAAGGATTAAAGTTGATGAGTGTTGGATTATTGTAGTATAATTATACAAATTTTATTACGTAAAATTTTTTTGTGTTTTAATTAATTGCATGCCATAGTGAATTTTTTGTCAAAAATAGCTAGTAACTAGATAAGTTGTACTGTATACAGCTTAAAAATTTTGTAGTGTTATTATAAGTAAAGGTGTAACAGATTACTAGATGGATTGTAGTAGAATGTGTGAGACATAAGGAAAAGCAAATTCTTAATAACTTGTAAACTCAAGATATGAACAATTGAAAACAATTAGACATAAATTCAAGGTGATATATTTTTTATTTCAATGTCATTGTCAATCCAATGAA